AGGCAATCCTGCTCGGTGGAGATGGGAAGGGAGCCTCAAGTGCTTGTCGGCCCAAGGTGGTAGGGGGCAGCATGGCGTGGATCGGTCCACAGGCTACCTGAGCTTGGGAACATACTCAGGCTGTAGTTTAGTCAGTCGCAATTCGCTGTCTTTAACATGATGGATCATTGCTCGCAAGGGTCGCTTTCACTTTCTATTTTTTTGAGTGCAAGTGCGGATGTATGCCCGCCAAGCGCAGAGCCCGCTCGCGCCGCTCGCAATTGAATTGAATTGGTAGTGGTGGTGGTGTTTCTTTTTTGTTTGCTTGCTGTGCTGGTTGTTTAGTCAGCAGCACAACTGTAGCAGCAGTATGCAGCAGTAGTAGTGGCAGTAACAGCAACCGCACTGGTAGCGGTAGCAGCAGGAGACACAGCAGTAGCTTGACTCCAAAGTCAGCCGACTGCAGCTCATGGCCCACAGTCTGCATGGTTTGAGTACAGTTTGGGGCAGCTTGGTTCCAAACTTCTATACGGTGACTATGCACCTTGCGTGGTGAAAGAGTTCTGGCCTTGAGCTCCTCAACGAGTGGCGGGATCAAGGAGTTGTAAAAGGATTCGCCTCGCTCCTGCACGCGGCCAGGTTGACAGGCGTGGACTTGTCTCGTTAAGTGCGAGCCGTGTTCAGAAACCACATGCGTGCTCTTCTACCTTCATCCGGTGCTATGGCTGTAACGTGGGCAGGCATCTGCAAGACCGCCACAACGAGTTGGAAATTGAGACTTTGGCATAGCTTCTAGCTAGCGAGGCCCCTGTAGTGTTCGGAAAGACGGTAGCCGACAGCAGTCGCTGAATGGCTCATGAGCTGTCCGGAGAGGTGTCCGAAAGTCAGTCTACACCGAGCTCACCCCAAACCGCCCTGGCTTATCACGCTGGATGTCGCAGCGACGGTTAGGTTTCCAACCTGTGCAGAGTCCAACCAATTCTGCTTTGCCCTGACACCTAGGCACGGACATGGGGGTCTGCAAAGCCATCGCCAACCCGGCGATAGTTCATAAGAAAATCAATAAATGTAAAGGGTGCCTATGCCTAGGCTAATTGCAGCAAACCTGCCCCCCTCGTTCCTCAGTCTTGGACCCCTAGGCTACCCCGAACTGACCTACCAGGAGTCTCAGCTCGCTGAGTTGCCCCTTATACAAGCTCGTGCAAAGTCTCTCGCCTTCAGATTCTGCCTCAACTTATCTTGTACCTGTATCGTCCAACCAACCCACCTAGCCCAACCCGAAACTTCACCTCTATCACAAACTGTCTTAGCACACCCAAGCCTGGCTGACCATGCCCAAGCAAGTGATGCTGTTCGCAGCGCAATGTGAACGGAGCCGTTTAAGCCGTTTGTGACTACACCGCATGTTGTCACTAATTGAGCTGATTGGGTCCGGCATCCTCGATGGAGATGTCGAGCCTGCTATATATCCTGTCATGTGAATTGAGTGAGCTTGTTCGGCACCTCGAGCATCCCAGAGTCCGAAGTCCTGTTGAAGGCCACTCTGCTGACTTCGCAGATCTTCTGCCAGGCTGATCTCGCCTCAGAGAACGTCCGCATTTCCATGTGTAGCCGTGTTGCATCATGTTGCCCTGCAGCCTGATCTGTTGTTTCTCACTTTCACCCACGGTGCTCGCTTAGAGACTTAGATTGAAAGTGCTTCAGACCTGCTCCGCATGCAGGCCCATGCTCTGAGTCCAAGACAAACTCCCCACCAGCTTGTAAATCAACAACTGCAAGCTGTGCGCGAGACTTGAACTCCTGTGGCACGCTGAGACCACGTCTACACCGTGTAATCCTGCTTTGCTCCGAGCCAACGACCGCATCTTCGTCAAACCTTTTCTTTGAGGCCTGCGTGCTGCACGGCTTCATGAACAGAGTGCAGCCAGACTGTGGCCAATCCCTCCTTGTAAAATTCCTGAAGGTCATGCACTTCTGGAAGCTGCTCCTGCCGGACTATTTTCACCAAGGTCCCTTCTTGGTATTCCAAGTCGATTCACGGCCTGGAAGTTGGGATATGCTTCCTTCATATATTCGATGAGCATGCCAAACTGAGTGCCCCAGTCGCCGACATGGTTGAGGCCTTCGCAGAAGCAAAGACACTCACATATTTAGGACGTGAGCCACGCAACCTCACAGCTCTCAGTCTCCGGCCGTGGACTTCGTGACCACAAAACTCGAGAACCCGGCGGATCGATTCACCGATGATTGTCGACCTCCAAAGAAACGCTCGCAGGGTCAATGCATTTGTGCGCTCTTCTTGATCGCCTCAAGTGGCCAACGTGCATTTCTTTGGCGATATTCGGAGACGAATAATCCACTACAACCTGTAGGTCGCATCTGCAAAACCGTGGAGACAAGGCTATGTTCTGTCAACAGTCCAGAGTATCTCAGGCATTGGCCCTCTTTCGGGGCAAATCTCTATACTCAACTTCTCCCAGCACTATTTGACCCACCTGAGCATGCATTCCAGTCGCGACACGGCGTAGTCTTGCAATACGCTTCTCGCATGGACACTCCTTTGCTTGCAACAGTTTCAAAAACCCGCATCTTTGTTTGAGCTGGCCTCCTTGCAAATCCATTCCTCCCTTACTTTGACCTTAGCTTGATCAGGTTGCAGCGTGCGCTGGTCCAAGCTATGTAATCCTGGCCGTGTACTGTGACAAATCCTTGTGGTGCAACAGTGATCTCGCCGATGATGTCATTAGCCGGCAGAGATCCCCTGCAAGCAGGAGCATCTGGCACTGCCGAATCAGCAGCGAAAGCGCATCAAGCTAAAACCAATTTCGGACACGGACTCCGGCGATCCGTTTATGAGACAGGTGCATCATTGAGTTGTGGTGCACTTCTGCCCATCGATATCATGCCGATGTGGCAGGGATCTGAGGTTTGGCATGGGCATGTGTGTACTGTTGCTTCGCGTGGTTCTGTGACAAAAGAGTGACAAATGTGTGGATTCGTGACTCTCGAACTTCTAGATGCTGCAGTCTTTCATCGTGAACTGATGCAGAGGACAGGGGTGTCTCACACCTGGACGGTGTCAGGATGCCTTCGTTAATGCTTCGTCCTTGGCGCATCTTGGTGCCAAAGCTTCAACACAGCTGGACGCTGACCTCGCAACTAGCATCTTGGGTTTAGGGATGTTTCGGCATGCCTACTTAGTCTGTCGCAGCACCCATCTGAAGCGCTGCATCCTGCTTGCGACACGAAGAGCCCAAGACCCTTGCGACGAGTCGTGTCATTGCACCTAGCAGATACGCTTCCCACCCTGCCTGATGGCTTCTGCAACCTGCAAGGGTGTCTGGAATCCCAGGCCTTCACCGGCGCAACTGTGGTGACGATCGGTGCATGTTTGCCGCGATGGTTTGTCGGCAGCAGCGTCTTTCCCAGCCTGTGCCGTGCTCCTTGAAGATTGTCATTGCATTGTTGCACTGGTAGTCGCCTGACTATTGACTTGCTGCATGTGGTGTTATATCTTGTCCGCATCTCAGGACGGCTCCATACTTCGGATTTCCCTTCACGACCGCTGCCTTCACACTGGTTTGAAGCAACATAACATGCCAGTCTCACTGTTCAAGACTCGGCATGCAACTGCAGCTGCCCGAGCTCCCGGCATCTTGTTGTATAGATGGAAAGGCGTCAAGCAAGGCTCGAGCAAAAAGTGCCTTGACCTCCAAAGCAATTACATCCCCGAGTAACCAATCAAAAAATGATGTCTTGATTAGCAAGCCGTCCAGCCGACAGGCATCATAGTGTAGCCTTTCACGCACCCTCGACGACTGAAATCTCAGGAGATCTTCACTTTTTGGGGCCTATTCCTGAGTGCGAGCCCAAGGTTTGATTTTCCATTTGTCTGTGTGTGTGTGTGTGTCTGTGTGTTTTTGTCTCTGTCTGTGCCTATGCTTGGCGCACGTATGTCTATGCCTGTCTGGGTGGCTGGCCTGCCCGCCCAACCAGCGGCATGTGTGAGGGCAAACCAGTTTTATGGTGCTTGGATCTCCGAACCCATTCCGAACTCCGTTGATGACGATAAAAGCAAAGCATTGCGGGCTTTGAATCATACCTTCAGAATAGTGTTGACACGGCACCGGTGAGCATCATATGCTCTTCCAATCATCGGTTCTTTGCGTGTTCATGCATGGGTGCACTCCGAGGCTCTTTGCATCTCGACCGACAGATCTCCGAATGTGGAGTTGGCAGCAATTCGTAGTTGGCTTGTTGGCATTTATCCGGTTGGAGTGCATGGGCAGTGCATGGGCCTTGAAGTAAGCATCTGTTTAGCCAGCTTCTCAACAAAGCCAGCCGTGCACCGCTGCGGATTGTTTTTGTCAGTTGAAGGGCCACAGTGCTTGAAGGCAGTTGGGATGTATCTGCCAGGGTTGCTATGTGCAGCAGAGTGCGAGCTTTTCATTGGTTTTTGCGTCGGTGTCAGCAGGCTTCATCGAAGAAGCACCAGAAAAACTGCCGCGATTCCATGTGTGCTGCAGATGCGGGTGATCTAACAACTCCAGATGGGCTCGTGTGATGTGCCCAAGCTTCTGCCTTGCAAGTGACTGAGTTGTCTTTTCGGTTGGTATAGCTGCAGGCGGCCGAGTGGCCGGATCCGGGCCACAGCCCCATTCAGAAACACAAAGGAAACGCTGCTTGAAACGATTCTCAAAACAAGTTTTGCAATGATGAGTACACCTTGAATTGAAAACTGGTGACTGGTGCTTCTGAGCGGCGGGCATGGCATGAAGATTCCAACGAGTTCTCAATGATCTTGTTTCGCTCCCCCAGGCTATAAACAATGCTACGGGAATCATGACATGTTGTGTCCGGCTTGTTGGAGTCAACAGCTTAACTTGTTTGCATCTCAACATTGAAGATGCCTAGCAGAACTTGCCCGGTGAACCTTTATTTCTTCAGTGGTCCTTCCACATTCTCCATATTGAGCAGATTGCAAACACATTGGCAAGTTCGTCTCCAGAGTCATGGTCCCTGAAAAGGTGGGCGCCATGTTTTGTCTCGCAGAAGTATTTCCACCAGGTGGCAAGTCTAATGCATAGACATACCTGCAGCTGTCCAGCATCTAGCGGGTGCCAACCTCCCAGCAAACGATGATACTCACAAGCACCATGTGTTGGATGTGTATCTAGCCAACTCACATCAGATAATGCTCGGGAGTTTCATCTAGCATGGTCAAGGTCTGCAAACATCAACCGTTGTGCTCCGTCTTATTGCCCCCCACATAGTCTTAGAATCCTACGAGTATGAACACCTTGACTTTTGATGTCCTATGCTCATCGAAAACGTCCTATCAACGGAGAACAGATATGGCACTTTATGGTATTTTCTGCAACCTACAAAAACCCGTCCAAATCTATCACAACATTCTCATTGGCGCACACTGAACACCAGGTTAGGTCAATCGTTGATTCGTCAGATGAGTACACAATTCCATCGCAGCTTGAGCAGCATCCTCAGATGCAGGTTTCTGACCATTCGGGGGAACAACTGTTTGCGTCAGTTGGAGTCGGGATGCAAAGCCGTTCGACTCTGAAAATCATCTCGTACGCTTTTATGGAAAATTGTACATCTCGCCCACATTCCTTCGTAATGTGAGAAATTGAACTGAATGGTCGCAAGCTTGTTGCCCCAGCTGCCTGTCCGTGAACGGAGCGGAGTGGCCCCATGCGATGCCTTTGCACGGAGTCGTCTGATGGATCATGGTCCAAAAAAACAAGACACAGGCCTTCAGCTTCGGTCAGGCCCTTCTCGGCACTCTTTCTGCGATATCCTGGAGCCCAAATTCGGCCATGTTCGGCCTGAATCTCGACAGCACCAAGTGCACCCACCCCCTTCACAGCAACTCGAAAGCATGATAGAGCTCTCAGGGGTCAGGTTGCACTTGCGGATTTTGTCCACAGAGCGTGCAACAGGCAAGCTGTTGTTTACAGCTCGCATGTAAATTATGGTGTTGCCTGTGGGTAGCGATGGTGAGACGCAGCATTGCTTGACAATGCAGCACGGCAGAGCCGCAAAGCCTCTGCAGGCAAATGGTGCAACTGCCCGAGAAACCGCACCGCCTACTGCCAGCGTCATCCGAGATAGAGCTTGCCAGAAGATACATCGTGGTTTAAGCCATTCAGCTTGTCCCTGACCTGCAGAAGCACATCGCATGTGTGCAGAATCCGCATGGTAGCAGTATCAACTCATAAATTTGCGCGCCAGCACGAGGGCCGGCATTCTCCAAGGTACCACTACGCATTTTGTGTGTTACTATTTGTGTTAACATATAACCACTGCCAACATTCGTTCAACATGCCTGCAAGGGACGGACATGCATGACTGCATAATGGGAGCTGGCGCTGTCCAACCCCTGCCAAATCTGCACAGACCTGCCCACATCGTAGCTAGCACACCTGTGACAGGTTGCCGCGGAGCAGGACCTACCATGCACAGCATACAACCACAAACTCATTAACTCATGTAATATATGCGTGTGTATGATTACGTATTTATACAATATATCATGACTATGCAACTCTCTGTCTCTCTGAAAACGTATATGCATACATACATACATACATACATACATACATACATATATATATATATATGTACACACATGTATATCATGTATCACCCTCCGCCCCCCGCCCCCTGTGGCGTGGTGCCTGTGGTCTCGCTGGGTTCCTGGTGTCTCAGCTTGTTTGTCTCCCCCCACGCTGGGGTGGTGCATGTGGTGCTCGCGGTTGGGTAGGCAGGAAGAATACCGCCCCTCTCGCCAAACTTATGTTGTGCTTGCTCCAGCATGCCACCAAGCAGAAGCTATATTCGCGACTGGCTCGCTGCATGCTGTGCATGTTGTAATCACACTGGATTGGGTGCTGAGCAGGTCATTAGCAAACCTACAGAAGTGCAGCTATTTGTCAGTAGTGTTGTTATCCTTCTGTCGATTGTAACTACAGTGTGTCGGTTTTCCCTTTTTCCGTTGTCGATGGCGCCCCTGTCCATGGTATAGCCTTCGCTCTGGCGCACACGCGGATCGTTACATTGACAACCGGTCGCCTCCTCCCCGCTTGTGGCTTGGATGGTGGCTGTTGTTCCAGCGCGAGTCGTGTCCGCAACCGTACCCCCGCAAAAAACAAGAAACGATCATGCAAATCACGACTACGTGCCAACTACTTTTGCCATGTTTGAGATGCGAAGTTGTCCTGCGTCGAAAATTTGCAATAGTCCGGGGAAATGTGACACCAAACGGGCCAATCCCAGCGACTCTCGGCAGTTCGGCAACGCGGTGACGATCCCATCCTCCGAAAGCGAGGATCGTGGCCGCCCAGCGGGCTCGATCGCTGTGACTATCTGTGAGTGATGGGGGGCCGAAGGATAGCCCGTAGCCCAAAACTAGATTGCAAGCCATGCATGTGTGCAACAGGCTTCTCTCCCGCAAACCCCCCATGAATACATTTCCCGAGGCTGGTTATGTATTGACACTCCCCCACGATCGGGGGCTGTCGGGCTTGCAAACACATTTGCGGGACATTCGGGCTTTCGGGTATAACCTTTCGGTGTCTGCGTACGAAATCTATCCCGCAAAACAGGTGTGCGACCCGTTCCACCCGTCTTGGGCAGGGGGCCGGGGTGCCGAAGCGAAGCGACCTGAGTAATCGCTATTAATCGCTGTTTGTTCATGCCAAATTGAAAAACTCAAGGTGAAGGATTGAGTTCTGCACATGGTGCTCAGATGTGCTCAGCACCAATAACGAGGTGTAACTTTGTTGCGCTAAACAAGACTTCCTGTAGACTCCTGGTTGCACTCTTGCTGCTGCAAGATGCGTCTGCCCCTGCACTGCAATCTTGCAACGGTTGCTGGCATAGCCCATAACGTGTACTGTACAAGTTTGAAGGGAGGCTCCTGAATGTATTTCCTGCGGGCGGGCGAAAATTGTAATTAGTAAAGTTGCTCTGGCATCGTCGACGAAGTCCCTGGGTTCGTTGATAGAGGTGGCACCACCACAACGCAAGCAGTACGGGAGGTCTTCGACCAGGTCGAGCCCCACAGCACGAACGAGTGCTGCGAACTTTCGGCGAAAAACCAGGGCTGGCTTGTTGTGCAAGGGACAGGAACATCAGGAACAACTGTGCGGTCTGAAAATGACTCTTGCAGCGACGGTGAAACCGCCGCAGGCCGGAGATCGTCCAACCGGCCATGGAGAGAGGCTGTCCCCCACTTGGTACAAGTGGTTTATATACTCAAATAATTCATCACCAAGTTCCGTAGGTGACCTTGGAAATATGCCCCGCAGAGCGCACGAATAATTGAATAATGCCGTCACAACTTTTTCGTGCGCCCTCCATGTCCGATCAGTGATCCCCAAAGAACGGGTGGAGTCTTTCTGCGCTCCATTGTTTGTTGCTCCCCCTTTTTTTTTTTTTG